AACAGTATTCCAGCCTAGAGGGGAGGTTCCTTGATGCTGGTAAGGGGCTCTTGATCTAGGGAATTGGATATGTGCTCCGGTTTCCTGAATTAAACCTGAATACCATCCGTCCCCCCACATGCACTGTATAATTCTATGGGTTTAGCGCTTCCCATGATTATAATTATAATAAAGCCTAACAAATCCCCAGGCCCTGATGAACTGTGTGCAAGGGTTCTACAGGAATGTAAAGAGGAGCTTGCAAACCTTTGGCTAATCTTTTCAACATATCACTACAAACTGGCATAGTGCCAGATAAGTGGAAAATGGCAAATGTGATACCTATTTTCAAAGCAGGTGACAGGTCGTCCTTAGCTTCGAACTATAGACCAATAAGCCTAACTTCCATAGTGGGAAAATTTATGGAATCAATAATTTCAGAGGCAATTCGTAGCCATCTTGAAAAGTGTAAATTGATCAACGAAGCTCAACATGGTTTTACAAAAGGGTATTCCTGACTTAGGAATTTATTAACTTTTTCACTGAGGAGGTATTTGAGGAGGTAGATCATGGTAATGAATATGATTGTGGAAAATTAAATTTACTTGGATGAATCTCATTAGATACACATGTGCCAGTAAATGGTAACAAAGATAATTATTCTTTATCAAGGTTACAGAGACAAGTAGGAATTTTAGGACACCTAGGTTGCAAAAAATGTCCCCCTTCGATACCTACCATGATCTCTCTCTCCACAAGTCACTCTGGACCTATATTAATTTCAAATGAAATATACATCACCAGGAATTCTGGTAAAAACATTAATATAAATATGTGGACTGTATATTAAATTTAAAATGTGAATACATATACATATGAAGGAGAATTTATTATAATAAGACTTGCCAATTAGTCTGGAGATTACGGCGTCATACCCCCCCTGCCTAAATATGAAGAAAATACTGACCAGAATCTCAACATAAATAGACATGACTTAGCTGGGGTTTCTGGAGCTGCCCTGTCCATCTTCTTAATGCTCATGTTATGGAGGACTGCAAATCCAACAATTTCGGCTCCTATTTGAGAGGTTTTAAGCCCAATATAACCCCTAGAGTGATGAAAATTTATGCACATTACATTAGTATGCCTGTGCCACATTCAAAACAATGGCGTCTCCTCCCTGCTCGTCAGCGCAAGCGCAGAGCATCCCTGCCGGTTCACTTCTTTAAAATACAGTGGACCCCCGGTTAACGATATTTTTTCACTGCAGAAGTATGTTCAGGTGCCAATACTGACCGAATTTGTTCCCATAAGGAATATTGTGAAGTAGATTAGTCCATTTCAGACCCCCAAACATACACGTACAAACGCACTTACATAAATACACTTACATAATTGGTCGCATTCGGAGGTGATCGTTATGCAGGGGTTCACTGTACACTTTAGAGCAATAGTAATGTATTAATCAGGTATATTATACAGCATAATTTTGGGAAATTATTTTCCACAATGATAGTGTATATGGACTTCAGTAAAGCTTTTGATAGTCCCACATCAGAGACTGTTGAGGAAAATCAAGGCACACGAAATAGGAGAAATTTTTGCCTGGATAGAGGCATGGTTGACAGATAGGCAACAGTGTGTTTGCATAAATGGGGAGAAATCAGAGTGAGGAAGCATCACGAGCAGTGTTCCACAGGGTCAGTGTTGGGCCCCTTGTTCACAGTCTACATAAACGGCATAGATGAGGAAATAGCGATATAAGCAAGTTTGCCGATGACACCAAAATAGGCCATCGAATTCATTCTAATGAGGACATTAGAGCACTCCAGGAAGAGTTGAATAGACTGATGCAGTGGTTAGAGGAGTGGCAGATGCAATTTAATATAGACAAATGCAAAGTTCTAAACATTGCATAGGAAAATAATCATGCTACATATAAACTAAATGTAGATTTACTGATTGCAAAAAGGATTTGGGGGTTCAGGTTAGCAGTAATCTAAAACCAAGACAACAATGCATGAGTGTTCGCAATAAAGTGAACAGAATCCTTGGCTTTATATCAAGAAGCACAGTTAATAGGAGTCCTCAGGACAGGCTCAGGTTGTACGTCAATGCTATATATCCTTGGTTAGGCCTCGTCTAGATTTTGCTGCACAGTTTGTCACCATATTACAGAATGGATATTATTGTAAACGAGAGAGCACAAGCTATTTGAAAAGTGTCACCACTGGCACTATTTGCCTTTTTAAGTTCTCATTACTGGCCCCGTCATCTTTCAAGCTGTCATAACTAACTTTTCCCTTGATGTGTTCTTTGAGAGTGAGATCAGCCAACATAATTACTTGCAGGACTTTCACAGGTTCCTTTTATTATATTTGATCTTCTTGGGTTTTGTATTCAGTGTCCATTTTGAGTTCTTTTTCCATATCTAAAGAGCTGGAACTTATTGCCATTGAATGCCATGTTCTCCACTGGAAAACCCTGTATATATCTTCCTGCAATTTTTCAGTGTCTTCTACCATGGTGACTTTCATGTTTATTTTTGGTGTCTGCAAATGATACAAAACTGTGATGGTCAATTTCTCCCGTTATGAGGATAAGAAAAGCAGAGGCACCGGGACCATGCCTAGGGGTACTGAGCTGATTACTTCGCTTATGCTGGATTTTACTCCAATTACAACTGTTCTATCTGTCAAAGTTGAAAACTCGTTTGCCGAAGACGACATTTCTTGGGTCGTGTCATGGCTGACAGATAGGCAACAGTGTGCATAAATGAGGAGAAATCTGATTGAGGACCCATTAATTAGCATGCCATAGGGCTCCATATTGGAACTTGTTCACATTACATAAATCACAGATAAGGAATCATGGCATAAGGGCTGAGGAGGGGTTATTTAGGGGGTTTGGTCATTTAATTAAAGATGATGGAAAAAAAGTAGGATGACCAGGGTGTATAAATCTGGGGTGGAGGATAATAGTAGTAGGGGTTGCCCTAGGAAAGGTTGGAGGGAAGGGTAAAGGTTGTACTAGGGCCTTGAACATCAGACTTGAGCATGATAGGCAAGAGTGGAGGAGGCAAGCAGTTTTTTATGAACTGATATGCTGTTGGAGTGACCAAGGTAACATTTATAAAGGGATTCAGGAGGACAAAAGGGTTACCCAGACTTAAGTCCTGGAGGTGGGTAGTACAGTGCATCTACTCTGAAGGAGGGGTGGGGATGTTGCAGTTTGGAGGGGCATCAGAGTTGTGATGTCAGTACCCTTCTGACAAAACAGTGATTGAGTAACAGTGCAAGTTTTCTTTGTCAGGACATCCTGCCTCAGTAGGCAGCTGCCAGAATGTTAAAAAAAATAAGTTTGCCGATAACACAAAAATATGCAGTCGGATAATTTCTGATGTTGCTGGAAAGTTAAAAGATGACCTATATAGGCCATCCTGTGATTTAAGTGTGTGTATAGTTCAATACAGACAAACGCAAAGCTCTAATCCTAGAAAAAGAAAGTAGCTATGGTTTGTAAAAGCTAAATGTAGTTTTGATCTAAATGAACATAAAGTAGATTTGGGAGTTCTGGTTATGAGAGATTTAAAATCAAGATAAGTGTGAGTGTGTTCATAAGGCTAATGGGCATCTTGGCTTCATATCAAGAAATATGTATAAATAATGGAATCCTAGTTATACGTACTTTGTCTTTATTTTGGTAGCCTTGTTTAGATATGCTGCTGCTCTAGTCTCGTATTAGATATATATGCAGATATATATTAGATTCACATACTGTTAATAGAACTACTATGCAACTATGATAATTTCTTTAGTGATAAGTAGTCAGTAAGCCATTAAATTGTCTGCCCCTAATGCCAAGGCATAATAGAGGCTTTTTGCACTGCAATCCATCATTGTAAAAATCTAATCTCAGTGTACTACTTGCAAAGAAATAAATGAATTTGAATTTGAATATATATATGCACTAGGAAATGTGCATAGAGCTTTAAGTTGATCCCACATATCAAAAACCTTTAATATGAAGATGGGATTAGGGCACTGAATTTGCACTCTGGAAATATAGAATTGAGGGCTTTGATTGAAGTGTACAAATGGAAATGTGGAATAAAGTAGATATAAATAATGTGCTGAAACTGTGTAATCAAGACAGGATTTGCAGCACTAGATTAAAATTGGATAAACACTTATAAATATAGGGAGGTACTGGTTTGGCAATAATTGTAGGTGAGTGGAAGAAACTGTTACAATAGTTACTGGGGCAAAAAAACTTAGGGTAACTTTAAATATAGGCTGAATGGGTGTAGTTGGGTGAGAGTTAGACCTACCTAGCATGGGCCAATACCTGTAGGCCTACTGCCATAGAGCCAGCAACTGGGAGAAAAGATTTATCATTAATTTTTATACTGTAGAATGTTAGTAATTGCATCTGTTGTTTTTTGCAACCATTTCTAGAACTGTAGTAGCTAAAGGTGAAGATTCTGGGGGTCACTGTCCTTGCAGAACAGCCCCAGAGCAGGCCAGTTAGTTCATCAGCTGAACCAAGATGTTTGTACTAGCCACTAACCACAACTTATCCAGTTGCTTTTGAAGACAGCCTGGGGTGTCTCGGTAACTTCTGTGATGTATGAAGGAGGGTATTGAAAGTCTTGCCAAGCTGTGGAAATAAATTTCTAGGCATTTAATATCCCCATGGAACCCATTTAGTTTCTCTACTCTTGCAGTTCAGCCTGAGCCCATGCTTCCCTGTTCATTGTTTCTTCAATCAGGCTGTTATTTTAAATGGTATTAAAGTAAATACTGTTTGAAGAGTAAATATTGCTTCAAACTGGTAATTCCCATATTGAGTATCGGCATTTTTATTATACAGTATATGGGAGCCTAGTGAAAGCCATGTCTGGCTACCAAGGCTTTAATTCAGTAATTATGGAAGGGTGGAATGTTGCCCTTGAAAAATTATTTCCAATTTGTTTCATATTCTGTATGTACTAGAAAATTAATGATTGTGTATCTCTTCAGAATGTGGATCACAAGATGAAGTACAAGAGCAAGAAGGGCCAGCTACCTTTTGTAGAGGTGAATGGTGAAGAAATTGCAGACTCTGCCATAATCATCAAAGAACTCGGTAGCCGTTACAGCGTAGATTTGGATGGTGGACTCACCCATGAGCAGCGCAATGTTGCCCATGCCACAATCTCTATGATAGAGAATCACTTTGCGTGGTAAGATTATCTTATTTTGCTAATTATGGGTACCTTAAGGCACCAAGGAAATTGTGGTAATGGTTGTGAATAACAGTATAGACAGGCAAGTGCATTGGGGTAATTTAACTTGAGAAGGATTACGAGGCTATGAGACTTGCAGTACAGTCATGTTGATTATGCTGCTCAGTTCTAGTCTCCATATTTCAGAATGGACATAAATGTGTTGGGAAACATAAAGAGAAGGATGACTTAAGTCGATTCTCTTTATCAGAAGTCTTGCAAAAATAAGCTTAAGAGACTGAATTTGTATTCTGAAACATGCAGAATTATGATTAAGTGTACAAATTGAAAACTGAAATAGAGGATATAAATAACGTTAAAAATAACAAACCAAAATGTAGTTCAAACAGTGGATTAAAGTTGGACAAATTTAGGATTAGGATGGCAGTGGAAAAATAATAGTGTAGTTGTAGAGGACTGGAACAAGCTGAAACTAATTTTGTGTATCATTAAAAATGGGTTGGACAGGTACACAAGTGGGTGAGAATTGGACCTGCTTAGCATGGACCAGTAGGCCTGCTGCAGTGCCCATCTGTTTTTCTATTACTAAGACATTTTTAATTTTATCTGGTGTTTGGAACTTGGGCTTCTCGTAATGTACAGATATGGTATAATAGTGCCAGGCTGAATTTACCTGTGGTAAACTCGGTTTGTCCTCTGATTTACAAGTTAAGTCATTTAAGATTTCCAATATACGTACAGTGCAGTCACGGCATTATGCTCCCCCCCCCCCACACACACACACCATGAAAGATCATAATACAGTGGACCCTCGTTTTTCATAATTAATCCGTTCCAGAAAATGTCACTATTTCCGAAATTGACGATTTGCGAAGCCATTTTCCCCATAAGAAATAAAGTAAATATAATTAATCCGTTCCAGACACCCAGAAGTATTAAAACAAAACAATACACAAAACAGTAGGACGTGATGAATGAAGCATTAACAGCATAATACTTACCTTTATTGGCGATTCTTCTTAGTGTATAGAAGAGGGGAATCCCGTTCCATAAAGACTTCAGGTACCAAGTCCTTTTCTAGGGTTACTTCTCTTCTTTGCTTTTTAATGCCACTAGGACCAGCTTGAGTCACTGGAGCCCTGTCGCTCAAAAAAAAACTGTCCAGAGAGCTGTTTCTGGCGTCCCTAAAATTTCCCTAAAATGGGCCAAGACTGTCACTGTATGTACATGTTGCTGACATGGCTTGCAACAGTTTTGTCAGGGTGATGTTTCTCCATAAATCTTTCCATCCTACTCCACATTTCAAAAATCTCCTTAACCCCTTGACTATTGCAACCCCCAATCCTGAAGTGTGTCCTGGTGTCGCAAAATTAAAAAAAAAAAATTATTTCTTCTTATGAAATGATAGAATATTTTCCCGATTGTAATAACACCAAAAACACAAAATTTGATGGAAAACTGACGGAATTATGCTCTCGTGAAATTAGCGACCTCGGCGATATTTACAAATCGGTGATTTCGCCCACTTTGACCCCTATTTTCGGCTAATTTCATTGTTCCAGTCTACCAAACTCATAGCTGTTTCTTTAGAACTCCATTTTTTCTATCGATTGAGTACAAGAAACTGCCCATTTACCGATTTCAACTACCCAATAACGTGGTCAGAAATTTGCAATTTGGCCAATTTCACCGAAAATTAAAAAAATATGACAATTTCAAAATACGGTCCAGAATGAACAATGCAGACATTCCTGCTTCTAAAATAGCATTTTCTTTGTTCATCAGTCATGTCTCCAGGCCCCTCTGATATTACTCTTGCTTTCTATTTTGAATTTTTATTCAAACAAAAAATAGAAGATTTACTGTTATGCAGACTACTGCAATACTGTAATAATTGTATAAATAACATCAACCCATTCACGACTGCATATTAGAATGGCTAGTTCGACATTTATTGGATAATAACATCATTTGTTTACTTTTGAACATCGGCAAAAATCAAACATTTCCCCTACTTTGAGCACCATTTCCAGGTTCTTTTTATAGTAAAATCAATCAAAATCACCTCTATTTCTATAATGTTTTCCATTCTATCAAATGAGACCAAGAAAACGAGAATACAACCATAAATACTATATGAAAATAGACCACAAAGTCGGCATTTTAATTAAAAAAAACGGTCGGTGTTTTTTTTTCTCATTATGCACTGCATGCTCCAGGATTTTTTTTATATGGTGCACACTGACTACACAGACCCATTCTCTCACATGTGGGCCTACCAGCTTTCTCCTGCTTGATTTGAAGCCGCTAGAATTTGAGTATGTATATATACGTCAAATATGGTACCTTGTAAGACGTATATATATGACGTCGACAGTCAAAGGGTTAATTTCTGAAGAAGGCAACTTCTTCCATCTCTCTTCCTCCTCCTCTAAAGCAGTATTCTGAGCTGCGGTCTGTTGCTGTTCCAGCTGAAGCTCTTGCAGCTCGTCAGTGGTTAGCTCTTCATTGTGGTCCTCCACTAACTCTTCCACATCCTCCAAACTCACATCCAACCCCATGGAACTCCCCAATGCCACAATAGATTCCACAGCTGCCATAGGCTCATCAGGGTCAGCCCCAAACCCTTCAAAATCCCTCCTGTGGACACAATCTGGCCACAGTTTTCTCCAAGCAGAGTTCAAAGTCCTGGTAGTCACTCTCTCCCAAGCCTTACCTATAAGGCTTATGCAATGGAGGGTACTGAAGTGATCTTTCCAAAACACTCTTAGGGTCAAGCGAGTGTCTGAGGTCACATTAAAGCACCTTTGAAACATTGCTTTGGTGTAGAGTTTTTTAAAGTTTGAAATGATCTGCTGGACCATGGGCAAGAACTTCACTGTAATGAACCCAAACTCCTCCAGAATTAGGTCATCCAAGTTTGGAGGATGAGCAGGTGCATTGTTCATTAGCAGGAGGCACTTGAGAACCAATATATTTTCCAGGAGGTAATTCTTCACACTGGGGCCAAACACTTCATTGAACCACTTGAGGAAAATTTCCCTCGTGACCCATGCCTTATTATTGGCTCTCCAAAACACAATTTACTCTTCATGACGTTTTTCTTGAATGCTCTGGGATTTTCAGAATGGTACACTAGTAACGGCTTCACTCTGAAATCCCCACTAGCATTACTACAAAACATGGGTCAGCCTGTCTTTCATAGGCTTGTGTCCTGGCAGTGCCTTTTCCTCCTGAGTAATGTAGGTCCTCCTTGGCATTTTCTTCCAAAAGAGGCCTGTTTCGTCACAACTGAACACTTGTTGGCATTTTAATTGTTCTGTATGTACTCCTTGAATTCACTTAAGAATTTTGTAGCTGCATTTTTGTCCGAACTGGCAGCCTCGCCATGCCTTATCACACTGTGTATGCCACTATGGTTCTTAAATCTCTCAAACCAGCCTTTGCTGGCCTTAAATTCACAAATATCAGTACTTGTTGCAGGCAATTTCTTTGAGATTGTCATGCAACTGCCTAGCCTTTTCACAAATAAGCGACTGCATAAGACTATCTCCTGCTGATTGTTTCTCATTGATCCACACCAACAGTAACTTCTCAACATCTTCGAGTACTGGCGATCTCATTTTTGACAGCATATTTACCCCCTTTGCAACAACAGCTTCCTTGATTTCCTTTTTCTTGGCCACGATGGAAGCTATGGTTGCATTTGGTTTCTTATAGATCCTGGCCAGGTCTGCCACACATACGCCACTTTCATGTTGTTCAGTAATGTTTTTCTTGAATTCAGTCATATTTCTCACCATCTTTACCAAAGGCATGGCACTAGGAGCTTTCTTTGGAGCCATGGTAGCTTATTTAGCAGTTGCAAGCACTAAAATGAATGGAATACAGTGGACCCCCGCATAGCGACCTTAATCCGTGCAAGAGGGCTGGCTGTTATGCGAAATGTTCGGTATGTGAATGAATTTTCCCCATAAGAAATAATGGAAATAAAATTAATCCGTGCAAGACACCCAAAAGTATGAAAAAATTTTTTTTTTACCACAAAAAAGTTAATTTTAGTACACACAAACTGAAAAAGGCATGCACAATTACATGACACTTACTTTTATTGAAGATCTGGTGATGATTGATGGGATGGGAGGAGGGGAGAGAGAGTGTTAGTGTTTAGAAGGGGAATCCCCTTCCATTAAGACTTGAGGAGGCAAGTCCTTTTCTGGGGTTACTTCCCTTCTTCTTTTAATGCCACTAGGACCAGCTTCAGAGTCACTGGACTTCTTTCGCACAACATATCTGTCCATAGTGGCCTGTACCTCTCGTTCCTTTATGATTTGTCTAAAGTGGTTCACAACATTGTCATTGTAACAGTCACCAGCACGGCTTGCAATAGCTGTGTGAGGGTGATTTTCATCAAAAAAAGTTTGCACTTCAAGCCATTTTGCACACATTTCCTTAATCTTTGAAGTAGGCAATTCCTTCAGTTTCTCTCTCCCCTCCTTTGAACCAGTTTCCCCAGGTCTGGCCTCTTGCTCTTGAAGTTGATCTATCAGCTCATCAGTGGTTAGTTCTTCATTGTCCTCCTCCACCAACTCTTCCACATCATCCCCACTAACCTCCAACCCCAAGGACTTCCCCAATGCCACAATTGATTCCTCAACTGGTATACTCCTCTCAGGGTTAGCCTCAAACCCTTCAAAATCCCTTTTGTCTACACATTCTGGCCACAGTTTTCTCCAAGCAGAGTTCAAGGTTCTCTTAGTCACTCCCTCCCAAGCCTTACCTATAAGGTTTACACAATTGAGGATATTAAGTGATCCTTCCAAAACTCTTTAGAGTCAATCGAGTGTCTGTGGTCACTTCAAGCACTTTTGAAACAGAGCTTTTGTGTACAGTTTTCTTGAAGTTGGAAATGACCTGCTGGTCCATGGGCTGCAGGAGAGGAGTGGTATTAGGAGGCAAAAACTTCACCTTAATGAAGCTCATGTCCCCATAAAGTC